CTGAGCGAGTGTGTGGTTAGACTGACTGAGTGCCTGTGTGCATAGGCCTTCGTGGACAGAGGTGGGAGCAGGCTGGTTCGTGGAGCAGCAGATCCTCACTGTAGCCTCACTCATCCCCTGCTCCTACTGTGCTCTCTGTGGACTTCAGGTGAGCCAGGACAGAGCAGGTGATGGTAGCAGGTTCCTGGGGGTCACTGCTCTCATCTCATTCTTGCAGGAGAGCACTAGGCTAGGGTGGGGCTTGGGAAAGTACAGCTGTCTTCGGGTACCTCCTGTGTCCTTGGCATGGTAGACTGAACATGAACCCAGAACCTCATTGCCCCTGGGGCTGCCCATCATGTGGGTCTGGCTAAGCAGGTTCCTGGCATAGTGACAGGTGGAGCACACAGACCTACCACGGTCCCTGGGATGACTCCCCAGTTAGAGCCTGTGGTAAGGACATCCTAGTTGCATTATGGATTTCAACACACTTTAGTATGCACTGCCTTGTCTGCCCCAGTGCTTCAGTTTTGTCTTCTGTCAAGTGGGGCAATGTTCTCATCAGCTCATGGATGAGAGGGAGAGAGAGAGAGAGAGAGAGAGAGAGAGAGAGAGAGAGAGAGAATGGTGTCTGTGCTCCCTCTGGCACCAGCCTGTCTGGCCCTTTTTCCTTGCTTTGCTTCTGCAGTCCTTTATGAGATCCCTGCTCTGTGCCAGGCACAGTGCTGAACAAAGTTGGTACAGGGAACAAAGGCGGCCTAGGCCTGGGGCAGAGTGATCAGGACCCACATGGCTGGGAGTGAGGAAGGTTGGGGGTCCATGACTGTGTGAGGGGCTGTACAGGGATTTCTTGCTGGGTAAGCATGCCGTGTATGCTGGTCCCCATGGGTGGCATGGGGTACATTAGGGCTGTCACTGGGCTTAGCTGAGCCTGTACTGCATGCTGGACTACAACCAACTGTTGGGCTTCTAGCTCCCCCTATCAAGGCCAGGCCTTATCTTGTCATCTAAACTGTCCCCAGAGTCTCAGAAGCAGGCAGCACAGTCAACGCAGGGCAGGTCCTTGACAGGAAGGTGAACCTGGTACCAAGCACTTCCTCGGAACCCATGGTAAATGGTGCCAGTTTCATGAAAGTGTGTTCACATCTGCCCAAGGCTTGGGAAGGAAGGGGCCTGATGCTGTCTAGAGTGGGGCAGGACCTCTAGGCATTCTCTCAGTGAGCCCCACACCTGCCTACAAACCTCAATCCTAAACCAGTCACCTCAGTGCTAATGGCAGCACCCCAATTTCAGATAGACTAAAGCAGCTGGGAGTTTTGGTATGCTCCCCACACACACCCCAAACTGTAGCCAGAGAGGAAAAGCCCACAAGCCCACCCTCCATCCCCCACAGCAAACCAGTCTCTAGAGTCTCCTGCAGCTCTGCAGATGGCATCTGGCATCATCTTTTTTAATGATCATGAAAGTGAACAACCTAGATCACAGATGTTAGACTGAAAAAAAAAAAGTGTGATGGAGATCCCATCTCTGGTACACTGTGTCAAGAAGCTGTGAGGCACAATTTTAGCTTGAAGCCCCCAAGCTAAAGTGACAAGTTTGTGCCAGGGATATATTACACAAGCCACAAGACCTGAGCCCCAAGCAGAAACAATTCTAATCCCCTGCACCCCCTGAAGACGCTGCCCCAGCACCACCCACTTCCCCCACTTGCATCAACAGGTCTGGGGAGGGGTGCTCCAACTGTGCAGCTAATCAGAAAGGTCAGCAGGGTATAATGAGGGCTCCTCCATCCAAGTCAGGAGAGCTACAAGTGGCAGCGACATGAAGCCACCGGGAGGAAAGGGATGGGCACCAGGACCAGACAAATAATATAACCACGTTTGCCCTTCTCAAGATGACTGAACTGGCCCTTGTCCCTGACCATTAGGGTGGACGCCATGGGCAGGACTCCCCAGAGAGCTAGTCAGGGCAGCAGCCTCCAGAGCCTTCCATGAAGGCACAACCACAGATTCCAAGTGAAGTGGTAATTATATATGTTTTGAAAATCCACTTCACAGAGTGAGCTAATAAGTGCATCTGAGAAGCAGCGTTCATTAGCAGACGCCAGCACCAGGGGCTCCACCACAACCACAGAATCTCAGGCTCAAAGTTGAGACACACATACAAGAAATCACTCAAGGTTTAGATGAAAAAGAACAGCTCACTCCCAGGAGGTACGGCTTAGGCTGGCTTTTGTTCTGGGCTTAAGAGCACCTTCATTTGCAATTGTATTTTTAAAAAGAAAGACAGAAAACAGAATTACCTGCAAAGGTGCTTTGTTTCCCATAGATTTGAGCATCTCTGCTAAGCAGCTTCCTGGGCCAGAGAGCTGGAAGTCTCAACTAGCCAATACCAAGATCCAAGACCTTGGATTTGACACCTACTAAGTGCTCTTTGTGCAGGGCTGGGGGAGAAGGGATCCTGCATGCCCACAACTGCCAGACAAAGGCAGGTAGCCACCTGTGTAATAGCCCTCCTAGAGGTGGTGAAACTGAGGTCAGGAGTCAGAAAATGAAATTCCTGGGATCTTCCAGGATGGCTCCAGATTCTGAGCCAAGTCTATGAGCTCCAGGCATAGTATCTCTTTATTAAAACACAGCTGTTGAAACACCTGTGTGTGTGTGTGTGCGCGCGTGCGCAGGTGAGTGTGCGTGCAGGTGTGTGTACATGTGTGTCTGTGTATAGGTGTGCATGTGTGTATACATGTGTGTGCATGTGTGTATAGGCATGTGAGAGTATGTGAATATGAATGTGTCTGTGCATGTGAGTGTGTGCATGTCTGTGTGTATGCATGTGAGTGTGTGCAGGTATGAACATGCATGTACCTGCATGCATGTGTGTGCATGTGTGTCTGTGCATGCATGTGTATGCATGAGAGTATGTGTGGTAGTGTGTGTAAGTGTATGTGTGTGCATGAGTGTATGTGGGTGTTTGTGTGAACGTGTGAGCCTGTATATATGTATACATATGAATGTGTGTGTTTTCCAACCTTTCTTTTCCACAACTCAGCTGAAGAACCAAGAAAAGAAGGGGGGCAAAGCTGGGATTCCGGATCTCAGGAACCCCCCCCCCCGCAGTGAGGAAGCCCCTCCCCTTGGGCTAAGGTAACAGCCTGAATTTGGTTCCACTTCCCTGGGCAACGTTTTCTTCAGTTTCAAACCTTAGAAGCTCCTGTCCAGAGCTGCCAATCAAATCCATAATGAAAGCGCACCTCAAGGGGAACTTCATCAGGTTAATCACTTGTTTTTTTAAGGGATGCTGGACTAGGTCTGCCTTTGCTTTTAACTCAGACCCTCTCCTCACTGCGTCACCTACCTCTTGGGACTAGCCAACAGTTTTCTGTGCTGGTTTTACTACAGGGAGCCAGGCTGCTGGCTAAATTCCCCTGTCAGAGGTAGATCATGAAAGGCACGTCTAGGGGACCAGGAGTTTTCCTCCTCGGTGTCACGGGCATGTTCTTGCCGTGCAGCAAAGAGCCCCTGCCCCTAGAATGAAGTGACTTGCACTTCTGCATAGCATACCTCCACCACAGTTCACAGCAGTGACGCAGTGGCTCACTGGCCTCCCTCTGCAACCTGAAAATACTGTGGGGGGGGGGTGGGGAACACCTCTTCCTGGTTGGGCAGGGGGATGGGCAGCAGGAGCAAAACTGGTTATATAGCCAACAGAAAAATGACTTCCTCCTTCCAAACATGAAAACGTGCACCAATGAGTTAACATTTAAACATGATGACTTTTGAGTCTTCTCAAGCAAGAAGGAAAGACAGCCCCTCTGGGGCTGGCAATCCCTGTTGCATATAGAACCCTGAAATCCTGTTGTTCTTCTCCACAGCCCCCCCTTCTTTTTTTCCCCCTCCAGCATTCAGAACTTTCCAGAACAAAACTCTCAAGGGAAAATTACAGGGGGAGGTCCAGGGGAGGATGATAAGTGGAGGGGGAGGGTCTCTGCACAGGGCAGAACAGACCACCTCTGAGGTAACATACTGGCCCTTGCAGATCCAAGGAGATATCTGGCCATAAGCAGTCTGCCATGGTGGGGCAAGTGGCCAACCTGAGGCATCACTTCACCTTCTGCCAGCAGGGCACCTGACACATCCCTTGGGATGAAGGACCTACCCAGACTCCCACAGGTCTCCAAGCAGAAGTCTGGGGGAGTCTCAACCCCCAGCCTCAATGGGGATGTAGTCTTGGGAACCCACCAGAGGCTGCTCTGTGAAAAGTGTCCTGGGTGTGGGAACAGTTGAGCACATCTTGTACAGATGCACCCTTTCCCCAGAGCTAAACTCTCCCAGTTTTCAGGTAACATTCAGCCTCCCCTCACCCACAGTCACACTGTGAACGCCAGACAGAGCAGGTCACCTGCTGCCACCCCCCATCCCAACCACGGAAGAGCAAATTCTCCTCCCAGAAACCAAACCTTCTAAGCTCCACAACTCAAAGAAAGGGGGGGGGGTCTTAAAGAATCTCACATGCTGAAGAATCAGTGCCCCCCTCCCATGGCCCCAGGAGCACTTCTGTCACCCAAGTGATTTGTGCACCTTGGTGCCAGGCCAGCTCTCTCCCAAACTCCTCCAGAGGTAGTAAGTGTACGACTTGGAACCCACTTAGGGAAGCGCAGCCCGCACAGGGGCGGGAGGTGGGTGGGTGTCGGCTTTGGGATTATTCTTAGAGCCCCACTCTTTCGCAAAAGTGGCGCCTCCACCCTCCAGGCAACAGCACTCTGTCTGGGAGTTCTCAAGCTGGCCCACACACCAGCGCGCGGTGGAAATCACTGGGTGGGGTCCCCAGAGGTGAGACGCAAAGACGCGGGAAAGGAAGCGGGTTCCTCCAGAGAAAAGGGGGCGCTGTGCGACGACCCCAGTGGGCCGCCGTCTTGAACTCTGGGCACCCCGCACCCATCTCAGCGCGGCGGGGGCGCGCGCTACCTCCCAGGACTCCCCCCGGAGCCCAGGGAGCCGGCTGGCGGCACACCCACCCCTTACCTATGGTGGTGATGACGGTGATGGCGAAGTAGAAGGAGCCTGCGAATTTCCACTGGACGCCAGCGCGGTGTGGCTCGGACTGCAGGATCACCAGCTCGAGCTGGCGGTAGTCATCCGTGCTGATGTTGTACTTGCCACGGATTCGGACCTCCTCCGCCTTGAGTTTCTCCTCCTCGCGCATCTCGTGGTCGGACTCGAGGGCGTCGAACACCGCAGCGCCCACCAGCAGGTAGGTGAAGGTGCAGGCGATGAGGGACAGGGTCCTCACGTTCTGCCGCTTCATGGCGGCCATAAAGGAGCCGCCGAAGGGGGTATGTCCCGCGGAACCGCGGGAGTCCCACTGCAGCGCGGCGCGGACAGCGCCTGCTCTGCGGCCAACTCGGAGTTGTAGGCGGTGATAACAGCAAAGGCAGCAGCTGAAGGTGGAAGTGTGGGAATCCTCATCGGGGTCCTCACCTTCAGCACCGTCACCGCCTTCACCGGCGTCCCCACCCTTGGGCTGTGGGCTGTCCTGGGGCTCGGCGGGCTCCTCGGACTCCGCGGGCTCCCCGGGCTCGGCGGGCTCCGCGGACTCGGACTGCTCCGCGGGCTCCGCGGGCTCCAGCAAAGGCAGCAGCTGAAGGTGGAAGTGTGGGAATCCTCATCGGGGTCCTCACCTTCAGCACCGTCACCGCCTTCACCGGCGTCCCCACCCTTGGGCTGTGGGCTGTCCTGGGGCTCGGCGGGCTCCTCGGACTCCGCGGGCTCCCCGGGCTCGGCGGGCTCCGCGGACTCGGACTGCTCCGCGGGCTCCGCGGGCTCCGCGGGCTCCACGGGCGCCGCGGGCTCGGCGGGCTCGGCGGGGTCCGCGGGGGCCGCGGGCAACGCGGGGGGCCCGGGGGGGGGGGGGGAGGGGGGGAGGCATAGGAAGCCGGTGGGAGGGGGGAGGCCAGGGGGCGCGCGCCGGGGCACCACATG